TGCACAAAACCAAGTCTTTGTGTAGACATCAAGGTATTTGACGGACTTGCTGAGTCCTCTGCCTCTGCATGGATTTGCCCCATTTGCACACCTAGAGCATGGGAAATCTGTGACCACCCTATGCTGTCCACTTAAAGTGAGTTTGCATTTATCTTGTAAAGAGCAGGGTCTGGCTCTGCAGACTCTTCTTTGTGAGTGAAGTCAGAAGCTTGGAAATTAGTGGTCTTGCTGTAGTAGGTGGCAGAGACAGATTGCCTCAAATGCGAAGTGAGCTAGATTGTTGCAAAGGACAGTTCATTTTACAGGTTTTTATTTTCTTCTCAGCTCTTTACATTTGTTTGTGTTGCAGACACTTCTATTAAAGGCGTTTCTATGCCAGAATATCTGCAGAAATGTTGTTTCATCTGCACAGAAGTTAATCATAACTATGTAAATAATTTTGTGAAATTCTGTTTAAATGATTCTGTGAAACAGCAGTAGCCTTGTTCTGCAGGGATCAAGTCTGTCATTCAGGTTGTTGCCTATGTTAGCGAGGGAAGAAATAGCAAGGTAGTTATCTACATTCAGCAAAAATCTGGGCACAAAGTAGCACAGATCAACTTTGTTTGGGGGATGGAAAAGTCCATTGCCTAAAATGGCAATATCTACAGTCACTTGGCTGGTGAGAGGCATACTGTCCGAGACAGCAAGAGAGCAATGAAGAGCAGCCCTTGCTCATCTCCTCTCCCTGCCCCTTATTATTCCAACCCCACATTTTCCAGCACTATTGCTCATCCTGACCTTGAGCACAGGACATCAACAGCCAGCCAATTTATAGGCATGGTATTCCTGCGCCTTTTCCCACCTCTACTTTCCCATGCAATATTAATACATTTTTCGCAAGGACAACTTCTAATTGGGAACCCAGGTAAATAGTCTTTTACTGGCCTCACTGTAGCTGAGCAGAAGCAGGTAGGTAGTTATCATGTGTTGTTCAATGTATATGTTTAGATGTGTTGTCTATATAAAAAAAGCAAGGTATTGATCAGGATTGGTACAGCTGGGCCCTTGAAAGCCGTGTTTCTCCAGATTTCCTAATACATGTTTGTCAAGCACTTTGAGTAGTGATAGGTGTTGTTCAGTCTGTTTCAGAAGGACTAGAGAATTTTAAGAGAAAGGGCTCTGGGCTTCCACTGGTAGTTTTGTATTTCTGAGTGGGACATAAGCAGAGGAGTGTTTGTTGCCTTCATGCCAGCACCTGTGAGAATATACATGTCTCACTTTTGCGTGTGTCACACGTGTGCAGAAACGAAATCTCAGACTTGCATAGTCATTCAGCTTGTGGCACAAAAGCCCAGGGATTGTGCACAGTCCAGTTTGGGGGCAGCCTTAAATTGCTGTCCAGCATTACACAGTCTCCATGACTTTGATTTAGTCAGATGCATAATGCCAGTAATACATCCAGTCTGCTCTTGTGTGGAAGATGTTCACAGAAGGGCTCCAGGAAATGGTATTTTCTTCCCACTTCTGATCTGCACAAAATGGCAGGGGGGGGGGGGAAAGTAGGAGAGTGTACTGCTTTCATTATCAGCAGTTACCCATTCCCAGCCACCATCCAGACCCAGTTGCCATAGAAGAGCAACGCACCCTGTGTCCAGCTCTGACCATAGGTATTTCCTTGATCGCTGAGAATCAATCCCAGGGAAACTGAGGCTGCACCTGGAAAGATTTCTCCTGTTACACTGGTTGTTTAAGTTCCCTGAAGCAGTTGATATTCCATCTTTGATATTTCAGGATGGCAGCCGAGACATCTGAGTAACATGGAGCTGGAGCAAGGCTCTTGAGTTACCCTGTCTATCCCCAGTATTGTGGGCGCTGTGGCATTTGGTCCTTTCCGTAAACACATCAGTATCCTTCTTGAAGCTGTATAGTTTTCCTGCTCTCCTTTTCCCTCTTCCAGCAGTCTCTGTTCAAACTGTTATTCTTCTGAGAGTAAAAGAAACTTTTCTGCATCTCCAGCCTAAATTTAGCTATGGGTTCTTCCTATTTCTTCCTTTCAAATGCCCTTTCTGGAGTTCCTGAGATCAATCCCATCCCCTCTTTCTTTTCATTATACTGGGTTTTTCAAGCTTGCTTATTGTCTTCTACAAGAAATAAGGACAGAAATTTGAGCTGTCTACTATTTGTAAATTATAGATGTGCAACAGAGTTACATATAATCTCAGTTATCTGGGTGCTACACATATACTGAGAAACCCAGGCTGTTTCTGCATTGCTCACTTAGCATGAGCTGAGCTCCGTGAGCACACCTTAGCTGCCTACACTGCTCTGTGGCAGGACAGGCCTTTGAGGAGCAGGAGTGTGCCCAGCTCACCCCCAAAGGGCACTGCCAGTGCACAGGCATGGCCACCCTCCAGACATGTTTTGGTTTTGTTCAAAGCAGGGTGCCTTCATTCCATGAATGTAATGTCTTTTTTTTCCCATTTAGAGGCTTTTTGCCAGGCTGGAAGGCTGGTAACATAAGCTCATTTTTTACATTTGGCCCATTCATTTTTTTCCTTTTGTCATAAAAACATATTGACAGTGTATTCCGTGCTGAGAATGCCCAACAGATAATGGCAGCTGTAATATCCCTTCAGTCAATAAAACCTTTTAAAGCTCATTATAGGGAATGCAAAGAATCAGTTGTAATGTGAGGGGTCACTAAAAGTACTTTTATCAATTATGAGAGTTAATAGACCAGTATCCTAATAGTAAAGCTACTTCTCTTCCTTAAGGTTGTTTCTGTGTAGGGACGTAATTCTGAAGTCAGGTTAATTGAAGACTTAATAGGAAATGTAATTGTATCACCTTAGTCTCTCAGGACAGGTCTTCCTCTGTAGTATCAAAACAAATCCTCCTGAAGTCCAGCAAAGTCTGTGGAATTACTCTGACTTTGCACTGCTGACAATAAATGAAGACTAAACCCCACTTCTTAAATTTCTCAGCAACCTACTGCAGTCTGAACTGGCCAGATCCTCCCTTCAGATAGACACACGGTCAAAGGGGGAAGTTAGAATGTGACTCTCTTTCCATGGCACTGAAAAGTCTCTCCAGAGAAATGTCCTTCTTTAACATGGGTCCCATATGTCTGGGCCATAGCACCAGACTGTCCAGCCCAGGTTAGTCATTAGGCAAGGCTTGTTGTGGGCAGCTGCATAAAATCTTATGGCTGTGTCCCAGAAGGCAACTGTTGTTAGTGCACTGAGCTCCTCTAGCAGGGGTCCTGTTCACAAACCAGTCTTAGAAAGTAAGTTTGCTTCTCCCATCAGATGCTGTCACAGGAACTGATTCAACTCCGAAGGCTGGTGGCCAGCATGAATCAAACAGATGTTTGATGAACATCCCCAGTACTGAGATGCAAACAGCCTCCATTCACATTCTCTATGTTCTTATAAACATTCAGGTTATTCAGAGAGATGGTCTAGTTATGGAATAACATTACAAAATTCATTCTTCCATTCCTTCCCTGTATCTGCTAACTCAGGATGTTTTTGAAGTGTTGACTGTAGCCCACATATCATCTCTTCTGGTCTTCCAGTAGTGAAGTCTAGCCAAGAGCTCTAAACATAGCTCCCATAGGTACTGCTAGCATCAAAGCTTAGGAGATGAAGCTGAGTGAAAATAGACTTACAGATACTTATCCTGTTTCTTGAGCAACTTTTGTAACCCATGAAGATGCTGCTGCAGCTGGATCTCTACTAGTATATAACTAGCTTAGATATTTCTGCTGTGTGCTGGAGGCACATCAAGACAGACCAATTCTATGAAGCTAAGCAGTGTGTTGCATGAGACCCACATTTATAGAAAATAAACATGTCCAGTGAAGACAGGCTGAGAGAGTTGGGGTTGTTCAGCCTGGAGAAGAGAAGGCTCCAGGAGACCTTATACTAGCCTTTCACTACCCAAAAGGTAGTACCCAAAGGGGTCTACAAGAAAGCTGTAGAGAGACTTTTTACAAGGACACATAGAGATAGGCTAATGGGTAATGGCTTTAAACTGGAAGAGGGTAGATTTAGATTAGATGTAAGGAAAATATGCTTCACTATGAGGGTGATGAGGCACTGGAAGAGTTCGCCCCAAAATGTTGTGGCTGCCCCATCCCTGGAAATGTGCAAGGCCAGGTTGGATGGGGCTTTGAGCAACCTGGTTTAGTGGAAAGTATCCCTGCCTGTGGCAGTGGGGATGGAACTAGATAATCTTTAAGGTCCCTTCCAACCCTAACTGTGCTATGATTCTATGAAAATTATTAATTTTTATGTGTTAATAGCTAATGAAATATTCATGATATGGAGAAGAGCTTTGAAGTCATTGCACATACAAGCAATACATCTTCAGCTCTCTGATTTTCTGATTTGCTTCTTCCCTTCTGCCACTTTGCCCCAGGGATCAGCAGACGCACATGTGACCTAGCCCATGCCACCACTGATGCAGGGGGGGCAGGCAAGCTGCAATGATGCTCGATGGTCTTAACTCTCCTCAAAGCTTCAATAAGCCTATAAGTAACAAGGCATAATAAAGTCCTGTTTAAATGAAAAGTCTGGTCATCTTTTGTTTGAATATATATAGAGATTTGAAATATATAGAGATTTTCTGAAGTGTGTGCAAGTGAGACATGAGGTGAAACCCTCCCCTAGTACTCTTATCAGACCTTACAGACAGGTCTACACCAAATTTACACCAGTAGCCAAAGCTGGCAGGGAGAGTTTCGTGAAATATACAGAGTTTTGTTACTAGACATGATAAAGGGTCAAAACCTCTGTTTCCTCTTGGAAGTTTTCTAAAGACAGAACATATAAATTATATTTGAAACTGCATCGTTACATTCACCTTTACACAGGACTCTGCAGAGAACCGGTACAAGCCAATATGAATTTCTTTTATATATAAGATTTATAATGTGATCAGAACCTCATTTGAAATTTAAGTTTGACATGTGAAATACGCTATTAAATGGTGGTTTAATGCTTTCTTGATTTTAGGACTCATGCAAATTAATGCATGCATGGTGGAGAGGTCATTATGGACTCTGACGCATGATTTCAAGCATGTACTAAGCTGTACAGAGTTGCATGTTCCTTTCATTCACAGATGTTTGGCATGAAGAGAGCACCAATTTGTTTGCTAAACATCAAAGCACAGTGTGTAGCAAATCATACTGTAAAGCAATGCAAAGCACTTGTTAGCAAACAAGTTTCACCTGCCACCAAGTAAGTATGTCAAATATGGATAGTTCCCTACTCATTCCTTCATTAATTTGAAACATCCCTTTTACAAGTGAGGAGCAAACCTGGAATGGAAATGCATAAATACATGGCTATAGCACTTCATCTGAAAGGGGGCTTGGCGTACTGCATATGGGAAGGTGATGCATAATCTAACTCATCAGGCAGAAAATGGGATAAAAGCTTTCCCCTTGGTGTGTAAGAAGAAAACGTGCATGTTTGGATATCAACAGTCAATGAAATTTGAGGTAAAAAAGAGTTAGTGACACACAGAGCTAATGGTACAAAAAAGAGCTACTGCCCTAATGTAAAAGGGCAGTTGAAAAATCACAGCAGGCCAAAATGATTTTGCATTTTTAAATACATAAGTCAGTTTTAATCACTGTGACAAGTGCATACAAGTCTCCCAAGCCATGCTTCCAAAGTGTGTTAGTGCCCCTGGTGTAGTAGCACCAGCAATCTCTGCCAGTGTCTGCAGATAGGTCTTACCATCTTAGGAGAGTCTACAGACTGCCTGTGTCTGTGCTGGGAGACCAGCCTGGGGAAGGGAAAGAGCAAATGGCAGGTCTTGGGGAAGAGAAGCTGAAACAAAAAAGGGGGAGGAAAGGAAAAAAGATTTTCAGAAGAAAAGAAAGTTGATCTTGGAATCAGTTCTAGAAAAAAAGGAAAAAGATAAAAATGAGAGGAAGACATTTTTAACATGAAGAAAGAAGAGGAAAGCTAGACAGGGAAAGAAAATGGAACTGAAAAGAGTAAGAGAAGTATTGCCTTCAGATTCTCCATGCCTCTTGTCAGAGTTGCGGCAGGGTGGATGAGTGCTTTACAATGTCACGAAAGACAGGCACAGGACCTTGTGACAGATACAGACTGGCACAGCATGTTAATGGCTGAAAAACGGTTCAACAAACCCTTAGTCTCAACAACTCTTAGTCCCCCTTCCTTTCATCTCCATTCTCTAACAGCTGGAATCGTGGCTAATATTAACAAACCTTAACTCTTACCGGCTGAAAAGACACATATGTATCACAATCAGAAGTGTTTCCTTCAAGATAACCAGCAAAGCAAATTTATCTTCCTGTAACTCTCCATAAATCTTTCATTAATACTTTGCTGAAATTAAATGCTATTAATCATTTTTTATTAATTGTTGTTTTGTTAAACTGTCAAGAAGAATAGCACAGACTGACTGTTGTATTACATTTATCTATAATTTTTGCTCTCAGAAGTTCCTTAAACTCAAGGCACTAATGTCTGCAATATCTGTGTGGAAAGCATAAAGCTTTTTCCTCCTCCTATGTTTAAAGCTTCAGCTTTAAATAAAGGTCTTTTGAGAAGTCATGGGGAAACACCTACATGATGTAACATGGTCTTTCAGGAAAATTTTGCTCAGGTCTCCCTTGTCAGAGTCATGTTAAAATCACAAATAAGACAATTTTGCTCCATGATGCGCAGATGCATGTTAGTTTTCTGTACTTGCTGGCCATTCCCTCAACTGTCTCACAATTAGCGTCAGTGGTTACCAAATGATTACCAGTGGCCACCAAACAAAATTAAAAAGGTGGTTGGTACTGGGGGCTGGTAACTTGCTTTCAATCTGTATTGACAAAGAAGATGTTTATCTCTGTCCTTTCTTCTCCCCACAACCCTGCCTATACATCACCGAACCTGGGATCACCCAAGGAAACCAATGAGAAAAGAAGAGAACGGGACCAGTCAGGCCGAATATGCAATGACCTCATCTCAAAACAACAAAACAGTTGATAACAATGCGGTTGTATAATCCCCAAAACCCCACAGGAGGTGGTAAACTTTCAAAGCACACACTTGGGAGTACGCAAGGTGGGTGAAATAAGGCAAAGAATGGAGTTCTGTGGCCAAGGTCTTAATTTCAGAAATAGCGCACGCATCAGTGATTCAGAAGAGTAAAGCAGGCTGCTCCACAGGCTTGCTGCTTCTCCAAAAGGAGGATAAACTTGCCCACCCAGGCTGCCTGGAGAAAAGGCCTCACAAAGGCATAAGCATTGCATGCTGCATCTCGTGAAAGCTATGTCACGATGCCTCACGCTTCTTCTTATCTTCCCCCCACTTTTAAGTGTGAATTCAAAAAAAGCTGCTGAGGTAGGATCTTTTGAAGAGAACATGGTCTGCCAGAGTGACAGCAGCTTATTATAAATGGGTCTGAGGGCCAAGGGTGTGAGGTGTCACCTACATGCTTCTCCAGCCTGTGCAGTTCTGTATGCTTATAATTCATTCTTATCATTCTTATTATTTCATTATTAAAAAGAGAACAAAGGTTACTGTAAAGCCACTGAGCAACCAAAAATTGCATGAACTTGTGACTTACCCCAGGAAATTGATCCGCGGTGTGCTGACTATGCAGTTTCCATGGCTGAAGACTTTGCAGGCAAAAGAAATCAAAATGTAAGATTTTAGCAGTTAGCATTGCTGTGGAAAGAGAGATGTTATTAAGTGGTGCTTTGAATGTTATTACTTCATAATCATCCTCTATTTTTGCATCACATTTTTTAATCTTTAAAAAAGTTTTCCTTTGTGAAGTTCTACATGTTTCTCTGTGTTTGCATCATGCTGATTCCCCAGGGGAACACCTACAGGAAAGTTGTTTACATCTTGACATGAGCATTTGGGCAGGATTATGTTGAAAGGACTAGCAGTGCTTTCAAGTCCTCTTCATCCACTGATTAGTGTTGTTTCCTGAAAGTGTTGAGTCTCCTGAACTGACCCACTGAGGACATTGTAGTTCTGCCTTGGAGGACCACTTCTGAGGGTCTGATAAGCTGTTTGTGCCCATTTTAACTCAGTCTCTGAGTCCCCTGGGCAGAGACTGCTGTTGTGCCAAATTCAGTCTAACAGCTTAGTGTTCTACTTTCCATGATGTGGATTGCAGACTACTTAAAGAAAGCTGAATCCACCCAAATTCATTTCACATAAGATCTCAGGTTAGACTCAGCAAATAACCCTTAAGATAAAGGCAGTGAGACTAGCCAAGATGCTGGTCTTTCCACACCTCCTGAAAACTTTCCTTTTTTTCACACCTCCGTGTCTATGTCTCCATTTACCTCTGTGCTGAAAGTAGTGATGCAGTGAAAGACAGATTTCCACCCTGGCTTCTTGTCTGGATATTAAGCTTTGATACCACTCAGTCTCCATGTCTGTGAGTAACTCCCAGGCAGGCACCCAACCAGTCTCACTGCAGGATGTGGCTGTGCCCTGGCTGCCACATCCCTCAATACTGAAACACACCGATACTTTCAGTTTTATATAAGGATGTGCCTGAACTGCAGAAACCAGACCTTGATTTTGAACGCATTCCTGTCTGTGGTTGGTCTGTTGCCGGGAGTAGGGCTTGGCCTGATGGTAGAGGAAGATGATGTTCTGCAGACCTTCCCCAGTATAGCTCTAGGATGTTCAAATCAGCAGTTTCAGCTCAGGCCCATCTGTAGTTTTCTATTACCTTTTGAACAATAGGGTGTATGTAAATATAAGTATCATTTCAATGATAAAATGAAATGCTGCTATATACTGCTGTTGAGGAATATGTGGAGTTATTAAGTTAGCTTTTTAGTCTGTCATCACTATGTAAAAGTTTAGCTACATAAATTTATTTTTTAAAGATTAGACTTTCTTGAGAAGTGAATGAAATTACAGAAGTGAAAGGGAATAAGTAACCCTTTGCCCAAGAGTATGATCATTCCCTGCCATACTCACGCTGTGTGCTTGCACAAGACACAGTGATATGTTCTTAGATCCCAAGTGGGATTAAAATGACAGAATTTACACTAGTAAAGTGTATCCCAAATGTTAATTGCCTAAAGCACTAAGTCCCTAAATACTATAACAAAAATATCACAAGTATATTTCAGGAATATATTTTAATCTATAACATTTATTTTGGTGTAGTTACTTACATTTGCCTTTCTATTTTTTACTGCAGTTGTTTCTGCCTAAACATGGCATAGTTTGAGACTGGTTGCATGTTTAGCTGAGAGTATAAAGTATGAGTGCAGTTGAGTTCAGCATGATACGCTCAGGATTAGCACTTTCTCCTAAAGGTTGTTGATTTTAATTATTTCCTAATACAGCTTTAAAGGCATGTTCTGTAAGGCCAAAATCACAAAAGGGATTTGTAAGTCATTATGTCTATCAAAATGTGTCTGTTTTTGCAAGAAACAGTCTAAAGAGATGGTCACGGACACTGTCTGATTTTGAGTTTTGTCAATGGCAAAATGTTCTCTCTAGAGAAAACCCTGGAGCATGACATAACACAAAAAAACCCACCCCAGGTCCCATGAGGTTTTCCTCAGGAGAACATAAACAGTAAAAACTCCATGGAGAGCAGGGAGGCAGAGCATTTCAAGGAGCAGCACATGAGGACTAGGATTTATTTTCAGCTCTGCCACTGATCAGCTGTTTACTAGCAAGTAATTTTGCCTCCCTGTGCCTCAATTTACCCATCTGTATAATCAAGATAAGATAAAAATACCAGCTCTGTGGCAGTATTTTGAGAGATAAAGATGTAGCTTATTTGCATAGGCAGATACACACTATCCTTATATCCAACCTGCTATTAAATAAATGTATTTGGGTACATAATCACCATAATATTTCTTAAACAAATATTGTCCAGTGTGCTTTTATAATCCATTGGCCACAGAAGAGCAGCAGTAGACAGGCTGAAAGCTGCTACTCTGCTTGTCCAGAGCTTTTGCTTTCAACACTGACACAGCTGCATGGCAAATCTTGCACAGGGTAGTGGGGTTTTTTTTGCCTTTAGATTCCTGCCCAAGTACAGTTGACTACATTGCACCAAAATGTACGGTGATCTACAGAAAGTCACTTGGAAAAGCATACTGGAAGCAAATGCAAGTCCTCAGAAAAGAGGGGCTAGAACAGCAGTGTCACTGAGGAATGATTTCTAAAGTTTGCTGGTATGGTTTCAGGTTGTGTTTGATGCTCTACAGACTACTTGCAAAGGTCTTCTAAAAGAGGCTTCTGTGCTTCCTTACTGAGCTATAATTAAATGCAAAGGGAAAGGAACAGGCTTGATGGGTAAGGGCTTCATTAAGCAGTGACCCTGCATGTGGGGAACTGGCAATCGAAGATGCAGCTTTACAAGCATTTTGAGTTTCTTTTTAGCCACCAGAATATCAGGGGTGGAAAGGTCCTGCATAGCTCCATTCACAGAATAGCCAGATCCCCAGCAGATGCAAAGGTGGCCAGTTTCTATGCAGAAGCTAACTGATCTGCTCTGACCATCTCCAGACAGACTCAACACACTGCTGTGTTCAGTCTGAGGGTGAGCGTCAACTCAATTTCTTCTCAAGGATCACCACTAACAGACACACACAGGGAATGCACTTTAAGGGCCTGAGCTGCAAAGTGTTGAGTTTTTTCAGCCCTTAGCAACACCTAGAAGGTAGAGCTGAAGCTCCAGCTCTGCCACCCTACCTAGCTCAGACCCGATACAGCGGTGTGCCCAGGAAAGTATCTGTACCTTGGATAGATGATGCGAAAACAGACATGGAAGGAAAGAGGAAAGGTCTATTAAGTATAAGATATAAGTATATTGATATGTATCTATACAGAGACCTAATTGTCCAGTCTTGCATGCCATATGGTCACAGCATGTGAAGCGAGTGTGGGCCTCCTGCTTCAACCAGGTCATGACCATAGATGCTGCCAAACAATGGAGAATCAGGCCTATGGTAGATATGTATTTACAATACTCCCTGCACCTGTACAAACAGAAATATGTAATTCTAAACTGCAAAATATTGTGTTTAAATCAGTGCATGAATGTAAATATTCTAAGATCTGCCTTCTTAACTGTGTACCACATGTACAGACGAAAATGAATATTGTTTATAGGAAATCTGTATCAGTGGTTAAATGACTAAAGAGAAAAAAAAATATCAGAATTAATGTTGTCATGTTTCTCAAACAAGCCATTAATGTATATTTAGTATTTAAGGATATTGCTCAATAAGTATGTTCCGTACCAAAAACTGTGTTGCATATACAGATTGTGCAGTACCCTATTTTAAAAAGGCACCATAATTAATTTTTATTTTAAATAAAAATGTACTTGTAAAAAGTTTCTTGTGTCCTGTTGGTTATGATGTTGAGATCAGTCTGCACATTGAAGAGAAATGTTGAAGGGAAGAATGACTTCAGGGTCTTTTACTGCCCAAATTAATTCTGCTTCCTGAAATACTTTCTGTTCTGGTTTTGGAGAAGCTTGTAGCTCCTGCTCAAACCTGTGTCTGGCTGGGGTTTGGTTCTGTCTGGCCTAATCCTGCAGTTTTAGTCCCAGATATGTGCACTGCTGGTGCTTCATAAGTGAAGGAAGTGCACTCGTATATTCCTGCAGCCCCCCAGAGCTCAAGAAACCCCTTATTTTTATGCCAGAAGTGCTGTAAGTTTCCCTAACAACATACTCTGCTTTTAGACTGATTGATCTTTTACATTATACTCTGTACCATGCTTTATTTTGGTACAAGAGATAATGTGCACCATTTCTAACTCCCTGTGTGGACTTCACCCTCACCTTTCCACACAGTAAGAAAAGCAAATTACAGACCAGTCTTTAAGGAGATCAACACTGACTTGCAGTGATTAAACCTGGATCCTTTGGTGGTTCTTCTCATCTTCACCACTCGCAGTTTTATGCCTTTACCAGAGAGAGGTGAAAAGCGCAGTCTGTGTGAGGTCCTCTGAAGCCAAGGAGCCATCACAACACGAATCCTCCTTCCCAGCAGAGCTCTTCCTTCCCCATCCATAGAAGAAGCCTAAAGTAACTCCCCAGGGTGCACCAGGTGCCTAAGTGAGATCAGCTCAGCTGGAGAGGGAGGGTATTGTTTTAAACGGGGAGGCAGCTTGGTTGTCTTTAATTCTTGTGACCACTGGGAAAGAAAATGCCTCTGGAAGGCACTGCCCCCTGCTTTAGGGATCAAAGTTGCCAGGTCAACATCTGTACCTCCAGACAGCATTACTTTGAAGAAGACTGCTATGACTGGGAAGAGACCGCTGGGAAACCAGTCTGCAGGAAAAGGTAGGGCACAGCCCCAGTGAAATTCAGGTGAGGTTCCACAAGTCCTACTGACAGTAAAGATATCAGCCCAGAATTCAGTGCCATTTGTCTGAGATCTCATCAGGCTTTTGTCATTGTCACAGGAATCAATGCATGTTAAAATACGACCCAAGTGCTGGTGCTCTTCAGCAGGCAATGGGAGTATTATGTGCAAACCTGATTAGTCCAGAGCACAGCAGAAGAGCTCCAAACCTAAAACCAGGGTTGTGTCTTGAGCATAGCTGAAAACATTGCTAAATAATATGAGTCACAGCATCTTGCCATGCTGAAGAGCCTGGTGTTGCTTGGTGTGCTCTTCCTCCATTGCACAATCACTGGGAACCAACATTATGATACGAAGACAGAAATTCGATTACTGGTGTTTAATATTATTTGGAGAGGGAACAAGAGATTTGTAATGAGAGATGCAGTGTATTCTGTGATTTTGGTAATACACAATCATTATCGAGTTAATTTCACTGATTTCATCTGGACACATGTATTGCCAAGCTCTACATCATTTTAATAGATGTCCAGTAAAATTAATTTCAAATTACAGCTTTCTCCATTTCTGAAAGATGCTCCAATTTGGGCATGCTTGCTTCATGCAGGTGTAATCTTTGCCCCCAGAGCAAACAGATGGTTGAAAAAATCCACAACTGATGTTTTAGTAGGTATTAATCTTCCCTTGCTAAAGTGTTAATAGATACTTCTTTTCTATCAAAAATATCCCTTCAGAGCTGATCTTCCATTTAACAAGGATTTTATTTAAGCCATTTCCTTAAGGTTCTTTTGTAACTCTTAAACCATTTTGTAACTGTTATGTCTTAAACCACAGAAACAATTGTCTAATTGCAAACTAACAGAGAAGTTGCCCTTGAAAGTCGCCTGAATATAATTCATTTTTTGAGTATTCAGGAAAACGTACTGTGAATAATAATACCAAGATTCCTGGCAAGTTCTGAACTTGTTTTGTTTTGGTTCTCACTAAAACAAAAGTACTCACTGCCACATTTAAACACTTGTCCTCCTGCACCTGTCTTGCACCGTGGCACAGTTTGGTATATCCATAGGGGTTAACAATTCCCTGATTTGACTGAGCATTTGAACAGTGCCTGTGCCTTGCCACTGTCCTCCCAGTCCAGCCCGTCCCAGTGTGAGCAACCGTGCAGTGCTGCAAGCCCTGACAAGGGCTCTTTACCTGTGGCTAACATGGAGTATATGGGATGTCCTGGCAGCCACAGAGGGAGGCAGCAATTCCTGGATGAAGCATGCAGCCCCTGAAGGGGAATTTTCTGGGGAGAGGGAGGGATGTGGCAGCTGCTGGGCACAGGATGCAGCACGAACACCCACTTTGTGATGCTGCTCCAGTCAGTCACTGAATAAGTTCAGGGATAGCAGCAAAACGGCTGAGGATGGGGGTAAGTGGTCAAACCCCCTTTATCACATATTATGAAATTCCATAAAATATTATGCCCATTAAAGAGCCATTATTGCAGTGAGCAGAGTTTCTGACCAGCCTCCAGTGCTGCAGGGGAGGGGGCTGGATGTGCAAATGTTACACACGCAGACCAAGCTTTGCCTCCCTTAACAACTTGAAAACAAAATCCTACGGGCTTTAATTTCTACCTCACTGTATAAATGGCAAGGCTTTAAGAAGCTGATTTTATCATAACTGCTGGCTAGATATATCAAATCTTTCTGGCTTGTTGGTTTCCTTAATCTGTGAGCTGTCATGAAAAACCCCAGTTAAATAGTATTTATATATATCTGCCTGAAAGTGTTTTATATTCTATATCACTGTGCCTGAAAGACGGTCTCTTTGTAAATAGCAGCTGGCTGTTTTGCTTCCCTATGAGTTGATACAAATTTCATGAACTTGTTTTCTTGCAGCACAAAAAGAACTTGGAGTCAGAACATGAATAAATTTCCCTTTAAGCTCAGCATTGCTTCCCCCTGCACATACAAACAGAAATGCTTTCAGTATTTAAGATTTCATTTAACACAGCCATAGTCGAAAGCAGAAAATATAAAGAAAAGCAGCAGTATGGCAGACACATCCCAGTGAGCAAGCCTGTGAGCCAGAGACAGCCTTTCCTATTTTGATTTGTAATTTGAGGATAATTCAGTTAGACATTTCAAGCAATTTAAACCTTTGTGCATTGTCCAGCACAAAAGCATGAACTACTCAGCAGCAAACTAGACCTGACAGCCTTAGCAGGCCAAGTAGAAATCCCGATGTTTCAAATGAAAAGCTGTCACCTAATTGATGCCTACTGAAAAATTAAAAAAAAAACACAAAAAAGGGGTGCAAGGGGGAACAAAGGGGTGAGAGAAGTGCAAACACCAAAACCAGGCATAGATCGTGGCCGGGGGCTTCACACCTCATTTGCTTAACAGAATATTTTCAAGACCTATATGGCCCTTTTAGAGAGATTAAAACACAAATGCACCTGACCACCCATCTGCTCACCTTTCCACCTGAAAGGCAGGCAGTGTTTAGGAGCAAAATGGAAGCAGAATGCACTGGGTGATCTGAAGGTCCTTTCCAACCCTAACCATTCTATGATTCTATGACCTGCAGCTGCTTATCGCAGCCGGATGTCTCCTGCCTGAACTCAATAGCACTGGGGCATTGGAAGGCCTCACCTTGATGCCAAGGTCCTGGCAATGTACTCATGCAGCAGAAGGAAGTCCTGCCTGAACCTGTGGCCAGCTCAGGGATGTCAGGGAGAAGTCGGGGAGCAGGCAGACCTATCAGGGTGCTCATTTCACACAAGGCAATGCCCCTTGCCCAGCATAACATGTGGAGCTGGGTGCCTGCTGCTCTGATCTCCCCAGCTGGCCACCAACAGCCAAGCCCTTGCAGGGGTGGCCATGGAGTGCATGGCTCTGTGCCCCCAACACCAGGATATTGGCTGCTTGGGTGATAGCTTAGCAATGTTAAGACACTGTGTATAATGATAAGAATGCAAGAATTTCAGGGGGAATTTCAAACAAGGATGTTTCAGAGCCTTGTTTGCTTTACACATACTGTCCCTCTTAACCTCTGAATCCAGAAGGAAAGCTATTTGTCTTTCCACAAACAAGCTGCCCTAGAAGCAGAAGGTCACGCTAACCTATCGACCGGCTGGCTGGCAGGCAAAACAGCTTTGATGAACACATATTTGGGCTGCTCAAAGTCATCCTTTTGGTAACAACTTTTAGAGGCAGGTGAGAAAAGTATCATGAATCATCAAGTAAAAAGTTTTCTGGCAGGCTGCATGCCTTTGGTGTCCCTTCAATGGCTCCTCACTGAATTTCTAGAGCAGAAAACTCACCTCCAAAACTTCTCAGGAGTGTAACACCTATCCCCTCTTCATTTTAAGCATTATGTGGGACCAAGTTTGTACGGTAAAATCCCCAAAAATGCATGTAGTACACGTGGATACCAGAGTCAGTGGTAATTTTTCCTGTTTGAAGATGTGGTGTCCAGTGTGCTTATAACCTATTCAAGTGGAAACAGTTTGTGCAGAAATCTTCCCTGCTGACTGTCTGCTGTAAGCTAACCTTTGCATTTGTCTAGGAGTTGCAGAAGAACAATCCTGTTGCTTCCAAGAATGATATTTGGGAAAAAGATATTAAAACACAACAGCAACTTCTGACTGTTTTATTGAGACTTTCCAGTTCCTCAGATCTTTGGGGAAGGCATCAAATTTGACAAGCAGATCAATGCCTTTATTGCAAATTACAAGTCTCTGGAAACTCAGTTTCCCTTCTTTACAGGCAACTTGAACGGAACAGGTAAATCCTCTGAAAAGTCTGCCTGTGGTGAAATTTCTTCATCTCTCACATTGCTACTAAAATTAAGACACTGAGTTTCAGTCAATTCTTGTTCAAGAATTAATCAGTTCTATGTTTGTGAAGAAAGTCAAGTGTGGAGCTGAAAAAAAGCAACTCAACTGCTTTGTATTCAAAACCATAGTTTTGAGGGTCAATACTATTTACAAGTTCAGTTCAAAATTAGCAGTGAGTTTTGTTCAAAATAT